CTACAACATCCAATATCAACACACAGTACAACACAACTGTACAGCTCAACATATCAACTCACAACAACATACAACTTATACAACTCAACAAAATTAACTTACGACAGCATACAACTGATACAACCCACAAGAGGGGAAAATTTTATCTTGGGTGCTTTGAAACTAAGCTACGTTAATTTAGGCTTATCATTAAGGAGATGTTTTTCCTTTTGTGCAATTTTCCCTAAAGGTTCTGAAATTGTCAAGGAAGAACTAATTCATCTTTGGATGGCTAATGGATTTATTAAATCTGAAGGAAATTTAGAAGTGGAGAATGTTGGCAATAAGGTGTGGAAAAGATTATACTGTAGATCATTTTTTCAGGAAGTAAAGACTGATAAGCTTGGAATCATTACAAGTTTCAAGATGCATGATCTATTTCATGATCTTGCACAGTCCGTTGTGGGAGAAGAATGTGTGGTTTATGAGAAAACAAGATTGACTGATTTGTCAAGTAGAGTTCACCATTTTCACTTGTTCAAATCTAATGAGTATGAGTCAGTCAATAAAGCTTCCTTAGATAAAGTTGAATCCTTGCGAACTTTTCTTGATGATTTGTATTGGTACGATAGAAATGTTCCTATGTTTCCATTAAACAATAGTCTCCGAGCATTAAAGCTATCTTCTCGTCAGATGTCACCTCTCGTGGATTTAACACATTTGAGGTACTTATATCTGCGTCGGAGTCTTGTCACATGCTTGCCTAGTTCTATTTGTAGGTTGGAGAAATTGCAAATATTGAAACTAGAAGAATGTCAGTGCCTTCTTAGGTTGCCCAAAGACCTTACACAATTACAAGATCTAAGACATCTTGTGATCAATAGATGTTACTCATTACTAGTGACGCCTCCCAAAATGGGCAAGTTAAGGCATCTAAGAACATTGAGCAGTTTCATTGTGGGTTCAAAGTCGGGATTTGGGTTGGAAGAGTTACATAGCTTAAAGTTGGGAGGCAAGTTGCATATCAGAGGCCTTGAGAATGTCCCAAGTGAAGGGGATGCTAAAGAAGCAAATTTGATTAGTAAGAGGGAGCTGAATCGCTTATACTTGTCATGGGGTCGTTTTGAAGGTAGTAATGTTAATGCTGAGCAAGTACTGGAAGCCCTTGAACCTCCCTCAACACTTAAAAGTTTTGGGATGAGTGGATACAAAGAAATACAATTATCTTGTTGGATGAGAAACCCTTGGGTTCTGAAAGACTTGGTAGACGTTATACTGTACAAGTGCGTGAACTGTAAAGAGCTTCCCCCACTTGGTAAGCTAGCACATTTAAAAAGGCTATATGTACATGGAATGAAAGATGTAAAGCACATAGACAGTGAATCATACGATGGCGTGGAGGAGAAGGCCTTTCCATCGTTAGAGGAATTCATTGTGAGGGATTTACCAAATTTGGAGAGGATATTGAGAGATGAAGGAGTAGAGATGCTCCCTCGTCTTTTGAAATTAAACATTGTCGGTGTCTCCAAACTTCAATTCCCAAGTCTTCCATCTGTTGAGAAACTTTATGCTGGTGACATCGAGAACGAGGGTTCCTTCATGGAAGGGGTTGTGGGAAATTTGCCTTGTCTTAAGTCCCTAACCATTAACTCCTTTAGCAAACTGAAGGTACTACCGAAACAATTTGGCAGGCTTGGTGCACTACAGGATTTATTCATATCAGGTTGTAATGAACTTGAGTCTTTTCCGGAACATGTGTTGCAAGGTCTAACTTGTCTTCGAAGATTGGAAGTTTATAGGTGTAAGAAATTAAAATGGTTATGTGAAGGTTTGGGGCATTTAGCTTGTCTTGAGGTTTTTTGTGTTTGCTCATGTCCAGAGGTGGTGGCCCTACCAAGCAACATGAACCAACTAACTGCTCTTCGGGAAGTGATGATTTGCGGTAGATTAGTAGAGTGCTTACAAGGTATCCTCTCCCTGCAAAGTTTGATTATATACGATTGTAGTTCATTGCCAGAGTGGTTGGGAGAATTGACTTCTCTTAAGGAATTAGAAATATCTGGAAATAGGGAGTTGAGGTCACTGCCAAGTAGCATTGAAAAGCTCACCAACTTGAGTGTATTAAAAATTTACAATGGCACGGAGTTGAGGTCACTACCAAGTAGCATTCAACGCCTCACCAACTTGAGTCGATTACGTATTGCATCTTGTCCTGAGTTGGAGAAGCGGTGCAACGGGGAAAGAGGGGAAGATTGGCAATTCATAGCTCACATTCCACAGCTGGAAGTGATCTCCCACCCGAAAAGAAAGACTTGCACACTTTATGGTAAATTCATGAGCCTTTTCTTTGTCTCCTAAACATGCAGAGTGTGTATGATTTATGTTTAAATATTGCATGCAGACAGAATCCGATCCCCCTGGACAACCTACAACACCACTGGAATGCGCTCTGCTATAGACTATTGGTTTTGGCAACATAATACTCTAACAGGTCAATTTGACAGGATTATTGAGTAAGTTATGTCCAAAATTGCCAAGCAGTTTATTTTAAATAATATATTTTATTAAAATATTAATGATCTAATTTCAAGTTTAATCAAGGTATTTATGTCGTTACATTTTTTATTTTACTTTTTTACATAATCAAACTAAAAAATTAAAAGTTCCAAAACCAAATAATACAAATTTGAAAGAACTAAAATAAAAAAATTAAAACTAAAACAATTTTATTTTATATAGACTAAATATGTATTGAATTAAATTTATAAAATTTAATTTTAAATATAATTGTATTTTAACTTGTATAATGTATAGACAAAGCCATAAAACTATAAGGTTGAGAATTGAGATTAACCTAACACTAAATAACAATGATCTACCACATACCACCTAATTCCTTTCCCCACTCTATCATTAATGTGATTCACCAATAACTATTCCTTTGTATTCAATTTTTTGTTGTTGTTTCCAATCCATTACCTTTTACTCTCTGTAACCATGATTTTACTTTCAGGTGGATTGAGTGAATTTTATTTATCATATGTATTCATGGAAAACTGTAACACTGCCATGGAAGGTATGTTAGAATCTTTATAAATGCCAAATGGATAGCTGGTTACTTTCTGCATGCCTTTTATATCTCCTTGTTAGATATTAGTTTCAACTTCAAGTATGTAATTTTGTAAAAAAAAAAAGAAAAAAAAAAGAACTTAAAGTATGTAAAAGCAAAGTTACATTGATACGTCTTTTGTTCAAGATGAGATTGCTGAACCTTCCCTTTTATCTGTGTTGTACAAGTTTCATCTTCGGACTTACATGGGCAATGGGCATCCATCTATCCTACTGTTATTTCATGATCTAATCTCATTTCATTGGGATATGAATTAATAATTCATCAAAAGATCAAGTAATTGAGACAATTTATGTAATTATTTTCTATTCTATTTTACGTTTAATAACCATTAGGAATACTGTTTCTCCATATCCAAACTACAACTCACCTAAATTTGACAGAGCGCACTGAACCACTGCCAAATCTCAACAACCATTAATTATTGATGGGAGAAATGCTAGAAACATACTTTCTGGCATACTCTCTTGAATGCATTCTTTCTCTTTTATGGGTTGAAATTTATTAAAAATTATAAAAGTTAATGAATCTCACATTTTATTTCATAAATCTAAGTCAGAGTTTGTTGCAAAGACTCTTCATTACCATGGTAATTGAAGATTGGACAACAGAGATGATGATATCTAAGTTAAAAATGATCTATGAATTGCAGAATATACCTAGATGCGGTTGCTATTCCACGAGCAATTGGATCATGAAGTCGAAGTTTATCTAGTGTTGATTGTACAAAATTTGCTCCAACCAGACCAGTTACCACAACCACTGCTGCTGTGTCAGATGCATTGGCACCTGCTGACATGGCAAAATTTCAAAGATCAAATAATCTCTCTTTTGCTTGGTAGACAATAAACAAATTAGGACTTCAGATTCAGACTATGTAACCTCTTCATTTATTGCATTAGTTCCAATTTAGATTCACTGTATACATAATGATTATGATAAATAGCTATGCAAAACACGATACTTAACTTCAAAAAAAGACACAATGCTGAGAGCCAATGCCACTGTTATGCATCCGGGTATAATTGATACAGTCAAAGATGGTTCTAAAGCAACTAGACGTCCAACGAGGGCAGTTGAGTACAATGGGAATACGGTAGAGACGACGACAGAGGTGAAAATCTCAGCTGCATGCCTTTTTACAAGCTGAACACAGTAGATAAATCATTAGTTAATGCTTTAATGGATTTTAACCATTATCTGTTAATTAAAAGGATGAGGAAGCGAAGTTTGTATTTGGGACTTTGGCTACATATCATGCTGATGGATGATAATCTAAATATTTGGTGCACCGAAAAACAAGACATGCAGAGTACGATCAAACTCTATGAAGTAATTTGCAAAATGACTATCCTATAAACCTTATAAAGGTCTTTCCAAATTTGGAAACAAGGAACAGATAAGAGAGATGCCCGCTTGGCTACATGCAAAATGTTGGATTAGCAAGCCAAACTGAAAATAGCAGATTGAACTCATTGAAGCAAGTATCATGGTATAATTATAATAATAATATTAATTTATTCGGTGTTTGTTCTCAAGTTTTCAAATGCTATTAGATCCGTTAAAATGAACTCATTATCATTATTTCATCCTAAGCATTTTCATTCTTTTTTTTTTTTAGGAAACATTTGATAAGCGGAATGATTTTACATTTATGTGAATCTTAAAAGTGAAAATCTTTTTTATGTTTGGTAGTTGTTTTTTTTAAATAATAAAAAAAAAAAGATTCTTGGGAACGTAGTTTTCTAGAAATCATTTTTTTCTCACTTTCCCACAAAAACATTCTCATGAGGAAGGGTGGGAATTCAATATTCTCGAATTAGGGAGAAAGTTTAATACATATAAAAATACTACAATATCCTTTTTTAAAACATAAAATCTTTCTCTTTCTTGCTCAATTTTGATTTTTATTTCTCCTTCTGCATCTCTATCTCTCTCACTCGTCCTCTCCCTCTCTCTCTCTTCCTCTCCCTCTCTCTCTCATATCTTTATTTCTCTCTCTTTCTTGTATTTCATTATTTTTTAACCTTGTTAAATTTAATAGTAATATTATTAAAATTTGTTTTGTTTCTATAATTTAATAGTATTTGTTAATACTTTAATTTATTTATTTGAACAAAATAAAATATATTTTTTTTATTCTTCTTAATTATTATGGAGCATTTTTATTTCTTTATTTTTTTGTTGAATTCTGTATTTAAATAATTTTAACTATAAATTTCAACTTTTTAAAAATAGTTTAATGTCATATTTATTATAAGATTTGAGTAAATAAATATATCTAATAAATTTACTTTAATAAAGGATATTTTTATAAAATATATCTATATTCTCAGGAATATAGTAGTATAACTAAATATGAAAATTTTTAATTTTCAAAAATCCTATATGATTATTGCCAGATATTTTTATGAGTAATTAAAAATATTTTAGCTATTCTCAAGAATCATTGTAATTCTCAAAAATCATGATTCTTGAATATGAAAAAATTTCTCCCTTTCTAAACGCCCCATTAGGAATTGGGGACAAATTGGGAGAAAAGTTATTGGCATGGAAAATATGTTCAATTCACTTATAGTGTGTTTGGATAGGAAATTTAAATGGAGTAATTCATTTATTTGAAGAATTTCAAATTCTTTGAGGTGAAATACCTTGTTTGGATGAAGAATTTATAAGGAATTTGAAATTCAAGCATTTGTGAAATTCTTTGAAATAGTAGAATTTCAAATTCTCCCAAAAGAGTAAGAATTTGAAATTCCTCATTTTTTCTTCTTCTTATTTCACTTATATATTTTATCCTATTCTTATCTCTTCATGTTTTTAATTATTGAATATTTAAAAATATATTTAAACTTAATAAATATTATCTAATATTAATTTTTAAAATTATTAAATATTTAAAAATTAGCTAATATTTATTTTTATAAAATTTAATTTAAAAATCTCAACATAAAATATATTTTTAAAATCAATTTTATCATGGTGGAATTAAATTATCATATCCAACCTAACAATTTAAAATTTAAAAATTTGAATTAACTTTTTCAAACAAAATATTTTAAAAATGATAAAAATTAAAATCAAACTAATTTAAATATCAAGAATTTAAAATTCTTTGAATTTTCTGATCCAAACACACTATTACTGAATTGCTATTGCACATCGTTAACTATTCACAACTCAGAAATAACATATCAAGCATTGGCCAGGAATAAGGTTGATAGCAACTTGCCTAACTTTGACAAAAATCAGAAGAAACAGCCTGCAAAGTAATGAGAATATATTGTTTTTGTTTGCTTTACTTTTTTATGCATTATAGGCTTTATCTAGTGATAATTACATATCTAGATGGGTACCTTTCTTTGTTTGAACATAGAGAAGGCAAATGATAGAATAACAGATCCCAAAAATCCCGTTAGAATGTCACCAGCTCCAGGATTAGACGATGAGTTTGTAAGGTAATATCCTATGAATGTCGAAAGAAGAATCAACAAAATTATATCAAAACTGAGTAATTACATAGATGTTAGTGTCTATTGAAAGATTTGCACCACACTCAGCAAAATAAAAGGGAAAACCATTTAGTGCCACAATTTTACATTAACTAGATATAGACCCGTGGAGATAAAAGGAAAATTGTTTAAATTAAAAAATATTATTTTGTTAATTAATAAATAAATTTTATATAATTTTTAATTATGTAACATAAGTTTGATATTAATTTTTTACTACAAATAAATTTATTATTGTTTGTAATAGGATTTGTAAAGAAAAAATATTATTATAAATATTTTTTATATTTATATTTATATTTATATAATATTTCATCCTTTATTGTTTTTCTTAGATTTAAATTAAAAAATAAAAGATTCAAGTAAATAATCTTTTAAAAAGTACATAATTAAAGGTAATATATCCAAATAAATATTTTTTATATATAACTAAATTACAAAACAATCTACTTTAATATTTTATCAAATTAATAAATTAATAATAAAAAATTTACATATATCCATTATTTTCAAATATGTAAGTCAGTTTCTTTAATTGTTGTTTAAAATTAATATTAATAAAAAAATTATTATTTTTCATATTAATGAATATAAATGTCAATTAATAATAATTATTATATTTTGACAAAAAGCAATTTTCTAATAATGATTTGTAATTAACATTAATGTTAATTACTATAATATTTTTTTAAAATGGAGAATTTAATCAAATTAAATTTTTTAAATAGTAAATTAATGATTGAATATTTTAATTTACAATTAATATTAATTAATATTGCTTCATTTTTATTTATAACTAAAATTAATTTGTTTGTAACTGAATATTTAACAAAATTTAATCTCTTCATTAATAAAATCATTAATTCTTATATAAT